ACTTATTTCGTCTTAATCTATAAAAAATTCATTGATAATAAGTAGTATATATTTTTCGTCCAAATTATCCAATTTTCTTGAAGTGTATAACTCTGAGAATTGACCAGAAATTTAATGTAAGAAAGGACAAAATTACTATTATCAACGACCAAAAGTGTTGATTAGCTGGTTAAATTAATTAACTGTCTCAATCAATATTTATTCCTAAAATCCATGCATATAATTAAGCATATGACTACTGGTATAGAATAGGAAATTTGATGTTCTTTTAAATTTAATATATGTTGAGAAGAGGTTGCCTCATGGAAAATTTTTAATTTTTTGCAAACTAGGAATTGCTGTTTTGATAGTGATAGGAGGTGTGGGATCAAAACATGGGAAAAAAAAACAGATATTATTATTTAAGAATGATTAATTATTGGTCAAAATTTATCAATGGCTGTTTGGATGCCCAGAAAAATAAAATAATTGCAGACTATAGTGTAAAACGAGGTTGCATGGAGAGTGTGTGCAGACCCTAATTCATTTTATTATAAGCTAGTGAACAAAAAATACTTTAGTTTTTAGTGCTATACTCTGCTATGGTTCTGACACGTCTAAAGCAAAGAAATTGCATGGTTGCTTCTTTTAAATTAGTTCTTACCAAACCAATATGAAGCTCAACGTTGGTGTTTGTCAATGCTTCCAAATTTAGTTCACAGATTCTTCAACAACTCAAGTAAATGGTTTTGTACGGAATCAATGGGTGGTCGGGGTTGTTTGTTGGCTCCACAACTGGCTACAGCTAGTTACTTCAACTGAAATCCTTTTCAGTAATCCCTGGTTAGGACAAAACCCTCCTGGACATTGTAAGATGTTACATGGTTGAAGCTAATTAACCTGCAACTTGGGACTAGGTTCTTTTATAATATAGTTTTTTTTCTATAAGCAAGTTGGGGTTCATCACATTCTCCCATCGATAATTAATGTTGAGTTCTTAATTTTCTCAATCATCGCTATATATATATATATATATATATATAAAATAAAAAACAAAGAATCAAAGAAGCAATGATAGACATTTTTGTTTAGATTTTAGATAAACTTTTAAAAATATAATCTGGACCTCCAATGTGTCAAGCTCTCGGGGATGTTTTGCATACGCCGAAGGTGACACTTAAATTTCTAAACATGATAAAGACATTGTTCTAATTCCTATATACTAAGCTCTCTAAGCTGGCATGTGCCAGCTAGGTGGATTAATAAGCAGTTTAATAAGTTTTTTTTTTCCTAGCATCAAGAATTGCCGGCCTTAATCCGGGCTTAATTACCCTAAATAATAAAAGTTTAATGAACGAGAAGGAAGAGGATAAAAGGAGATTCCCGATTCCCAAAAGCAAAACAGACAGACGTTAGTAGGGAGTTAGCAAGCAAAAAGTACTTTCTGTTGTAACTAAAGAAGTAAAAAGAACCCAACACACACGTCTTCATTCCACCTTCCAAAAGTAATTAACTGCCTTTCTCTAACTTTTGCAACTCCCTTTTTCAATTTCTTTTGTCCTCTCCTTTCTCCAAAACCACGAGTTTCCATGACCGCAAAGCAAGAATCTTTGCAAACCTAAGCTTTGCTTTGATCCACTAGATTCTAAACGAAAAGGATATATATATATATATATATATATATAGTACGGATTAGCATTTGAATATTTTTTATATTGATTGGTATAAAATTTTTTATTTTAAAAAATATTTAAATATTTAATTTATTAATTTATCTAAAAATAAAATTCACATCCTCATTCTCTCAATTAAATATATATATATGTAATACAGATTAATGTTGATGTCTAAAGCAAATTAAAACTAAAAGCCGTAAATCTAAAACATTAATTTTTTTCATCTTTTTTCTATTAATAATTGACAATAAACCTTTTTGTCATACACATATATACATTTATATGTTTACACGAACTGATAAATGGATGTGTTTATAAATAAAAAGATTTATAAAAAATTTATCTATAATCAATGATACATGATGATTAAGATGTATTTAATGTGATGTTATTGTTTTTTTTTTCTAATGATAATATTGTTGATTGTGTGATATATGATTACGGGCACATGTTATCGTCAGATTGATACAAACACTTAAATTTCATTATTAAGAGCTCTGTTATTTCCGTCGATCTTTCGGGGTAATTTAGGGCCAGTAGGTAAGTTTGGGTGTGAGCGGAATACACACAAGGTTTTACCAATTAAAATTTACGGGAGCCCGTACGAGAAGCAAGAGGGAAGGCCGTGGGGTCCGTGAGGCCCGTGACACGTTTCAGTACAACTGAGCGGCTACGAACCTAGACACCAACTTTTCCAAAAAGTACCTCCAAGTCCTCTAACTTTATATTTTATGTGGCGAGAGAAGAAAATAAAATATAATCTTATTGGCCCATTTGCGGAGGCGTGGGTCCCGCTCAGCCCACTGCTCACTTACGACTTCCCGCGACTGCAAGACGGTGCCATGTCAGAACACTGACACTTACGTGGGATAACGGTATTCCTCCATTGCTGCGCATCGTTTCCCACCTTGTTGAAGGTTACCCACCACATCACCAATCGGAATTTAGGAATTTTTTAGGCGTGTCCAAGACCCTCCATGTCCTATTGCTTCTTGATTTTTGGCACTTTTAATTATTTGAACCAAGTTAATTTAGCAGCAAATTTATATAATTTTGATCAATTCTTTAAAAAATAATATAATATTTACAAAAATATTTCTATAAATATAATTTTAACAAGTGTTTATAGATACTTTTTTCATATTTTCTTTTATTTTATGCACGTATTATTATAAATTAGGAAAAATCAAGTATAGTAGTAGTGTTTAAAAAGAATCTAAACTAATATATATTCCCTAAATCTTCCAATACATTTTGTGTAGATTGAAACAAAGGGGAAAGGTTTATTAAAATGGGAAGAAAACAACCAACGAGAAAGAATTAACATGTTGGATGATCTATGCATAAAATAGAGAGAGAGAGGATATAATTGTAGCTTTATGTTTGCCCAATCCATTTAGGTTTATGTCTTTATGCTTTCACTTAATGCTGCCTCTACGGTGTTTTGGGATGTATTTGGCTTAAAATTCAAAGACATTTCACAAAAACAAAATAAATGATGTGATCCTTAAATCCTAGCAAGTGGGGTTTGTAGCGTACACACACTATGCGGTTCGGGGGGATGCACCCTACCTCCCACAACATGCACGTGGACCCATGAATCCCAATAGGTCCATCTTGACCATTCAACCCGATCCATTAATCCTGGCTTGACAATGCTTTTATTTATTAGGTCGGAAAAAAGAATATAACGAACACGATTAAGAGCTTTTGATGCTCATAATTAGAAAAGAAGTTTGGGGTTTGATTAGGCAAAAGATGTAGCTTAAAACAAGGGGTTCAGTGAGTGATTAGGAAGGGGGAGGGAGGCAATTGATTTTGGCGGTTTGTTTTGGGAAATTAAAGAAAGGGGAAGATGGGGTATCCTCGCACATGGGGACTGGCCATGGAGAATACAAAATCGTTGCTTTAGTAGAGCTGGATTTTTTTAATGTTTTAGGAAACAAAAGCATCTTCAATTGACTCAACCACTTCTAATAGACACAACCTTTCTTCCCACTTTTGCATGTGGTGGGTTTTTTTTTTTTTTTAAGCTTCTATTTCTTCTACTTCGTGCGTTATAGGAAAGCCTTTTTTTAATTGCATGCTCTCTCCCTCTGTTCCTCTCTCTCCTTATGGCTGCCGTAGCTCTGTACCCTTGTGAGATCCACATGGTTTATCTTTGATTTGCTTAACTTGAATTAATGAAGTCGAGTTCCTTACTTCGAAAAAAGCAGCGTTGGTCAGACTTCTTTTCCACGATGAATTTGCGGGTGTTGCAAATTTGACTGCCATTGACAGATAACCATCATCGGCAGTTTAATTAACTCGATAAGTCAAGCTTTGGTTTTACCATTTCCAATCTTATCATCAACCAAAAAAGCTTTCACTTTTCAACAATTAAACAGGAATTATCTAATGTTATTAATACTTTATTTTCAAATATTTACACCTCTTAACCTTGTACGAACAAAATTTAAACACGTTATTTAAAATATTACATATTATTTTATATCATGTGATATTAATATGTTATGTTAATATATTATAAGAGATAATAATATAATATTTTTATTTTTTATATTATAAATATAATTTTTATAGTTTTTTTTTACTTTTTTTATATTAAAAATTTAAAATTTTTATTTATAATCACCATAAAATAAAAAAAACACAAATTTTTAAGAACGAATAAAAGAAAGTTTTCCACATTATGTCATTTTCAAATTGCTTTTTGGACTAAATTCAAAAAAGTTATAATGTTGTCCCCAACCCCACCAAAATTATTAGCATTGGAATAGTAAATTAGTAACCCTCCATTTTATATATACTTTCCATCCCCAAATTACCACTCAGAGCTTTTCCAACTTCAAAACAAAGAGAGAGAGAGAGAGAGAGAGTAAGAACATTAAAATATTTTTTAAAAATCTATCTTCCTAGATATCAATCTTCTCAAGGTCACAATAATTAAAAATTTAAAAAAATAAGAAAGAATCAGTTTACCCCAAATTACTCACATGACATACTCCTTCATATCAATTTATTCTGGAGTTCAATGTATCAAAAGCATAAAATCTTTCTTTAAAGATTTCATGACATCTATCTTTGCATTAAACATTTGGAATTTCTTTTGAATTTTGCATCATTAATTTTGTCCTCTTTTTGTATTTGTTTCGCTATTATCCTACAAAATTATTATTATTGTTGTTGTTAATCCAATTGTAAAAGACATTTGGGCTTTTTATTTGCTCCACCAACAGCTGACACGGCCTCGTAATTATTTCGAACTTCGAGGGTGCTTTCCCACCTTGCCTTTTATAAAATCCTCCTCCCTCCCAAACACTCAAATCCCCCTCCCAGCAAAAAATTAGAGTTCTTATTTTTCTCGCCAAGGGGAACTCTCGATCGTCAAAACCAAAGCCAAACAGAGATTTCTTTGAGGTTTTTTTTTTTCTCGGGAAAATGTCGGCGGGGCTTGGAAAATGCAGCAAAATCCGCCACATTGTCAGGCTTAGGCAAATGCTGCGGCGGTGGAGGAACAAGGCTCGGATGTCAGCGGGCCGCATCCCGTCCGATGTGCCGGAGGGACACGTGGCGATCTGTGTGGGGACGAGTTGCAGGAGATTCGTTGTGCGCGCGACGTACCTAAACCATCCCGTCTCAAGAAACTGCTTGTGCAAGCAGAGGAGGGTACGGCTTTACCAACCAAGGCCATTGGCAATCCCCTGCGACGAGTCCGTTTTCGAGGAAGTGATCCGTTATTTCCCGTCGGAGTCGGGTCACTCGGCAAGGTTTGTGAACTTCGAGGACTTTAAAGGGAACTGCCACGTGGGAATCAGGAGTCAGCTCGATTTGTTGACCGAATCTCGACCGTTACTTCATGGGTTCGCAGGGAAAACAATCTGGAATTAAAGACGCAGTGGGAAAAGGAGGGTTGATTCTGACCCGGGGTTTTTGACTCAGTTCCGAGTTAGCTCGAGTGAACAAATAATTTTACACACTGCTGGAGTCTAGTTGATGAGTTCGCGAGTTGATGAGTTGGGTATACTAATTCATGGGTTTTTACTTACCATGGTAAAAAAAAGGTGAGTTAGTGGGTTTTTCCTTTTTCCTTTTTTTTTTTCTGGCCTTTATCGAAATTTGCTTGTAATTGGTTAAAAATTGGGGGGTAAAATGAGCTGAGTCAATGTATATTAGCTCCGAAGAATGCATGGAGATGGCAGAAAAAAGGGAGGTGAGTTATTCACCGTGTCGTCCCGGGTTCGAATCGGAGTGCAGGCCAAGAAAAAAGGTTGAGACTTTGAGACAATTGAATTCATGTAGAAGAAACGAAGAAAAAAAAAAGGGCAGTGATTGTTAATTTAAAAAATCACTGTTGTAAATTCTGTGATTTATTGATTGAATGAATGAAAACATTGTAGAGATATTCCATCAATGATTTCCATTATGGGACCTTCCATTTTTATTTATCTTTTAAATTATATTTTAATTTCGAAAATTTGCAATTTTTAATGTAGCAAGAATGACATAGTGTTTCAATCATGGTGGCCGTTGTGGGAGTTATAATGGCACCAACCCACGTGAAGGTAAGTGTCCCTCCCCATAATCCCATTGCCTCTGTTTCACCTGGTTCTTACCCTCTCTTGTCTCTTAACTCTAAATAGTATTATAATTTTCAAATGGTAATTTTTTCTTTGTTAAATCTAAATGAATGGTAACTTATAATATTTGGTTGCGTATTTATCCAATCAATTAAATCAAAAAGCAATTTTTGTATTTATGTATGTCTATCCGATAGGCGAAGGATTGAATCAAACAAACTTAGAGGAGATGCAACTACTTGAAATTAAAGTTGAAATCTTTATCACTTAACCAACAGTTTGTCGGTGGTAATTAGGTTAGGTAAAATGTAAAACTTGGCAAACATTTTTGCCACCTACAACAAACAAAAAGTAGAGACTTAGCTATCCACGAAATTCTGTGTTAAGCTATACATCTGTTAATAATCAACCAACATGGTCTGCTGTTGCCTAATTTATCCTGCATTTACCCTCTATGTTTTCACTTTCCTTTTTTTTTTGGCATCTTAGTAGGGTTACTTAGGGGGAAAAGGGGGTGGTAGTGGAAGAATATTCCTTTGTTTTTCCTTTTGTAAAAATGTTTAGATTAATAATATGCTTGTAGATTCATAATTCTGCTGGTAGCCAACGACTTCGAAGCTTAGTGATCAGCTAATAATGGGGCCAAGCCAATGATGGAAGCTTTGACTTGACAAAGGAACTTTGATTTCATTCGGTGCCCAAGATTTAGACTCGAATAAGCGAATTGCAGGGAATGATTATTCCAATTCCAAAGTTGGCCATTGTTATAAACATCTTAGAAAAATCACTGGCTCAGGGTGTTGATGGCCATTTTTAAAACACAACTCTAAGCTCATTTGCCTTGTTCACGTTGACATTTGATCTTGTAAGCCAATTCCAATGGATCAGTCATTGAACCAAACACTATTGGCCTTTCCCCTGATTGGCTCCTCCCCCAAGAAAACCAGATATGAACCAAAGGGGAGGGGGGGATTTTGCTCGTGTCTGGATAATGGCTGAACCCACCACATTGATGTGGATTCATTGACAAAATCTTACCAAGATATTAACCAGCCATTTGGTCAAAAGTCTTAATCCCAAAAAATGGAGGGAAAAAAAAATCCCCGTTGAGTCAATGGTCTGCACAATTTTGCCGGTGAGGGGAGCGCCAGGAGGCCCCTAAGGGTGAGCACAGCCGTGTAAAATCTTGCTTCATATAGACCCACCGCGTACAAAGGATAATCTTTGTTGAAAATGACAAGCTTATTATTACTTAAAAGTGGTGTTGAAATACGCATAAACATGTGAAGATTCTGACTTCGTGTTTTCCCGAACTGCTAAGAAAATGGGTGTCCTAATCAAATCAATTTTAAGGACTACAGTGAACAATCAAGGACTCTATAATTGAAAGGCGGTGGTCGGAAGGAGTCGTAATGGAATAGAAGGAAGTAGAAGAACCAGAGGTAGTGGAGCATTATCACTTTCTTGAGAAAGTATTTTCAATAGAACCGAGTTTCATAAGATGGTGTCTTTTCACAACAGGATCAGGTTGGGCAAAGAGCAGAGGGGTGGGGGGTGTTGTGTTTGATTTGAAAGATGATTTTTAAGTTAGTTAAAGTGCTCAGTGCTGCTGCTGGTATGTCTCTGTTCCACTAGAAGGAAAAAATTTTCTTTCCCATCAATCCATCATGCAAAAGGCTAGAAACCCTCTGGTTCTCCACTTCAATAATGATCCATTTGGTTTCTGAGGGTAAAAAATAATTAGTGTTTCCATTTTACGATGGATGTAATGCCAGTGTGTTCTGAACTAACAAACAATAATAATGAAAGACTGAATCTCCAAAGTTGCATTCTGTTTATGTGCTTTTTATGAAGAGCCCAACAGAAGCCCAAAATGTGGGTTCTATTCTATAGGAAGTTCCTAGTCCAGTTCCTGTCATGAAACCAAATCCATGGGACAAGTCCTCAAAAAAGCCCGGATATCAGATGGCCAATCAATGTTGAACTGTGAATAGCAAGTATCATCTAAGCCTACTTCCTTGTAGCTAGGCCCAAAATCTAGCTATTAGACTAGGCGGCCTGCAGTTGGTCCTTCGCCGTTCTTCACTGGCTGAGTCTGACCCCAAACCTGAACAAGTTGGAGATGAAGTTGCCCATTGGGTTTTAACACGATTGCAATGAGGAGAGAAGAGGGAAGGGAAAAGGGTTTGGAATTTGAATGAAATTGGACAAGAAATTATATACTTCAGTGACCTAATCTCTGGAGCAGAACAAAGTTTATGCATTTTTCAAGGGCAACCATCACCTTTCAAAGTTCACACATCAAGGATTTCTTCCCTTGCCATGATGTAATAATTCATGATAACATGTACTTTTATCTTTGTTAATGGTTAGATTTTATAACCAGACAGAACCTTAAAGTTCTAAGCCTGCCATCTTGACATTGTGACACGTTCTATTGATATTTCTTTGGTACATAGGCTAAGTGGGTAACTTTATTTTAACTAATAAAAAACAGGAAGCCAACCTAAAGAAGATGGCAGGACAAGAATATTAATTACAACTGCCGGTTGTTGGAAAGAAGAAGCTTAAACAAAAGATCTTGGATCTGATGTTCTGCTTAGTCAGCACTGGTGCAAAATCCAACCTGTCTCGCTATTTAGTGGGACGTTGGGTAACAAGTCTCTAGCTGTTCATGCAATTATAAACTCAGGGCATAGTATTTCAAGTACCTAAGAAGAATTATTGGGAAGCTGGTGAACCAAATACAGCAAAAAAAAAAGGAGAAAATCAGGTAAAAGCTGTACTGATCGAGTGAGAATCGAAATGGTAGGCATGTGAATGGTGAACCAACCAAAATTTAGCGTGCACCTAAAAGCGTCTAAAGGATTGGCAGGCCTGGCCCTGGCCTTGCCAATGACAAAAACCCACCAACTTCTGTAACCTCCTCACCACATACAAAAGAAGACAAAGCATATGGCTACAGCAAAACGAGGGCATGCCCCTTGAGGACATTGTGAATGGGACGAGCTTGGATTCTGCCATCTCCAGTTTTGGAAATGTAAGACGGTACAACATTGGACCACTTTTTTCTTATTTTGTTGCTGCGTGCAGCTATTCATTACCGGTTTATGTCCCCTTTTTATCTTCTTCTACATCTTCTTTTGTTGATACTCTGCTTGCTAGCTAGTTCACCCCATTCTCATGGTAGATAATGTGACAGTACCAAAGTAGGTGAGGGCAAAAGCATGACCTTTTTCGGTTGATGGATAAGAATTTTGTATTCTTTTTCATTTTCTTTATGGATAAAGAGTAACGTACTCTACCAATTATATGCCAATTCCAAAAGAACAAAATGCCCCTTAGGCTTAATCTAAGTAGAAAACCTGATTCAGAACTTCTTGCAGATTAATTTTTGCTGCTAGTTTGCTACATTGATGGTTTGGGCCCAGAGATCTTAAAGCTCTTGACTCTGTTTCCTGACACTGTTTTGAGTCTAAATTGGTTCTCTGGTACTAGGGGGAAAAAAAAAGGTGTTGAAGGTTCTGTAGCAGTGTCCCATGGAGTGATGCAATCACTGTCTGTTTCATTACCCAGGAGAATGATGTTTTTAATCTCATATTCAGACCCTCAGCAACCAAATCTCCAAAGCATGGAAAAATATATTTAATAATGTATGTACTTTTCTTCAACATTTTGCTTGATCGTATTCCTTGCTTTCAATCCTTGGTTTGTCCTTTTGCTTGGCAGGTTTGGAATCTAAAGACCAAGGATTAGTTTGTTTAATCCTTTGAATAAATTGAAAAGAAATATTATCTTATTTTTTTCCTTTTTATTTTATTTTTGGGTTAATGATGATTTCCCATTATGACTATGATCTTTCAATGTCAAACTCAATATTTCACTTTAACACTTTCGCACCTAAAGTAAAAGAGGAAGAGGGTTTTATTAAAGGAATGATTATGATGTTATTAACAAATGAACATTATTAAGAAACAGGAAGTTCAGCCCTGCATGATTTTATCTCGTTTGTTTTGTAGTCAAGATCAGATTCGTTCAACCTGATCAAATCAATCAAATTAAAAGGTTAAATCAGAATTAATCAACTTAAACTTAATTTGTAATTGGGTTTCCTCAACTAAGAGTTGGGAAAGAAAGATTGGTAGAAAAAAAGGGGAGTTGAAATAATTGGCTTTGATTAATAATAATATGAGTGAGACCCTACCTCTATAATTTGCATTGATGTTGCTATTTATAGTTCAAAAATCATAAACGAAATGACCTCTAGATTGCTCTGTTTCAATGACACAGTTAAAAGGTACGGATGTGTCTGTCTGTGTGGCAGGGTTGTTTGCGATAACTCACAAAGAAACTTTTTGTCTTCGTGTTATTACAAAAAGCTGTGGAAATATCCAATTCGATGCCGCAAAACCCCTGGCTCAGCTCATTGATCATTTGTTTTTTGTACTCAAAAACAGGACACCCCAATTTTTTCCTGTGTGAAAAAAAGGAGCTGAAATCAGCAAAGAAAAAGGGTCAGCAAGTTCAGAAAATGGACATTTTTTTTTCCTAATAAGTTCAAAAAGGCAACATTGTGAATGAACCCTTCTTGGTTCGCAGCCTCCTCGACCTTGGGTTCGAAGTTTTAAGGTCAGACAGTGGACCTTTCCAAGCCCCAGAAACACCAACCACTGGCTGCTCCTCTGCAGCAAAAGATAAAAAAGAAAAGCTAATAAGTGGTACTATTTACTAAAGAGTAATCAATTGGTTCTGATTCATACACACTAAAAAGCATTTTGTTTTAAGCTTGCTTTCCTGTAAACAGCAACTAAATCAGGGCCAAGTTTTAACTTAATGTTGACAGCATGTGAAGACAAATTAAATAACAGTTAACAGGAAGCAAGATTATGATGATGATCACCACATTTCCACATATAGGGAGAAGCAAAAGAGAAACAAAAACAAAGAAAGTGTGACTTGGAGATGAACCAAAGGCAAAAATCGAATCCGAAGCCACCTCCCCAAAAAAGAAAAAAACCCTTTTACTCTGGTGGCACTATGGAAAAGTATATGTGGAGGAAGTGGCCTAAAGCTGTCATATATGCAAAGACGTGGGCCCCCAAGTAGTATGATTTTGTTCCATTTTTCATCTCATTCCCAACCCCCCTACAAATTCTTTCGTACCAACAAAGCAAAGGTTGAAAAATCCCCCACCAAAGATAAAATAATAGTAGAAGTAGTAGTGTATATAGCATGTAGGAATAGGGTTTTGTTTAATAAATGAAGCTCCATCTTAGCAATCATTCTCATCCGGCCATCCTCCCCTGAGTGCCGCTGAGCCAAATATCACTATCCATTTTTATCCTCCCACTGTTGAGTGAGCATGGGGATCTCTCTTGCTTGCAAGAGCTTTTCCCATCATTGTCAACTGCTTTTTCTCTTTCTAGTTGCTGTTTCGAGATAAATATTTAAAGACAAAAAGAGTATAAGATGATCGTGTGACTGTCGCTTGATCTTTAATCGTAAATGTGTTTGATCATATTTAATTGAATGTTACTAGGAACTGGTACAACAAATGTTGGTTGACAAATTGACTGCCTAAAAACTGTTCGCACACCTTTTCATATGACAATGTTTAGGTGTCCGCATGTGCAGTGCAAATTACAAAAAGATATGCAAAATTAACTCAGATTTGTTCTTGATTTCAAGGTTACAATGTTGGGTTTGAGTCTTTTTACAACATTATATTAAAATCTCAATTTGCAAGTACAATTTGCTCAGATTGAATCTCACTTTTATCAAGAAAAGAAAAAAAAATTAATGAAAGACAAAGACTCTTTTTGATTACCGAAACCTAATTAGTGGATTAATCAATATACTAATTTCGATGGCTTAAGGGAAACCCAAAATTTTGCTGACAAAATGGAGACAAAAATAATTCATTAAACTATGTTTAAGAGCAAGATTAAGAAGAAGAGGAAATGTAACTCAACAAGAAAAGTACATCTCCCCCTCCCTACATTTAAATATTCTCCCTAGACATAGTCCACTTCCTATTCATTTGCTGACAGTCATTCAATTCTAGCTACCATCACTACATTTTTTTTAATTTCACTTTGGAGATGATGCTGCCGTCGAGCTGGCATACAAAACTCAGATAATTTAATTAAATCCCATAACTTGTAGTTGAATTACAATGACAGCTAAAACATTAATGGTTGCTAGATTAAGACAGTTTGATTTCAGAACAAAAATCTTCTGCCTTCGTCTAATCTTATTATATCAAGCGAGACACTGAGTGGTTGGTTATCAGGATTAGTGTTCAGTTTGCCGAAGAGTATAGTACTTAATTTTTTTGTTTATGATTATTAATTAGGGTTTGGTGTCAATGGGTTGGAATTTGTCAAAACCTTGCGTGGATGTAATTAACGTCAATAATCCGAGATAAAGAAAACGACTAAGGGCCTAATGGAGGGCAGCGGCAACGGGGGTGGGCCAGATTAAGGACAAGTATCCAGGCATGACACGACTGGTAAGTCTTCAAATGTTTTTCAGACATGACAGTTACATATGGCGATGCCTTTCTTCATGAAAGAACAGTATTCAGATAACTACATTGATTCTTCTTTTTCTTTTTTTTTGGATTAATTGAAATCCATTAGTTAGCTTGTTATTTCAGTGGCCAAATAAAAAAGTAGTCAAATCCAGTTGCTGGCTAGCAATTTCTCAGAATTGATTATGAGTTAAGACCTGAACAGTTTGCAGCAGCAGCTGCTCATATTTCTGTTTCAAAAGAGTAGATGGAAAAAAATTTATATATGTGGGCTTTGCTTAAACTTTACATTCTTTTTGCCAAACATGCTAATTCTGATGTACAACATTTATTTATTTATTTTTACAAAAAGAAAAAAGAAACCCAAAATTTACTTTAAGCCAAAACTTGTTTCTTTTCCAAATGAAAGCAAAACTAGTCCATCTTTCCCTTTGTTTCCGATTTAATTGGAAATAACTTTAAATAACCTGCTTCTTTTTCTGTCCAGCAAAGAAAGGTTGTCTGAGTAACAAAGTTTTACCCAATATTACAGTGAAAACTTAGAACATAAACTAACTGAACATCGATGATACAGTGAAGCGAAAATGTCGGTAATGGTTCTCATCGAGTATTTCTTTTTCTCATTACAAAAAGAAAAAGAAAATCTGACCGTATATTAGTCTTTGTCAAACTGTTTTTTTATCCTTCTGAAAATAATTCATTTCACGCTACAATAAGCATTTTTTATTTTTTTATTTTCGACAACCAAAAAGTTAAATATATAATAAAAAAGATAGTAAAAAAAGCTTTGTTCTTAACAAATCAATAGGAACAAAAGGGTAAAATAAAATAATAAAATGAACCTTGGATGCCAATTATCTTCGCAACTCTTTAGATTCTCTCAATTGCGAAGCATTTTTTTTGCCCTTTTAGAAAAAAAAAAGGAAAAGAAAAAAGTAGTCGAATGTTTGTTTGTTCTGTATCGTGTTTGGGGCATCTGATGATAATTTGTCGTGATCGGGAAGATTAAGGCTTTCTCAGTCTATCGCTGCCTTCTGCCGACGCTGTCCGTTTCCGTAATTAAGGCCCAGTCGGCCTGCTTATGTGAAACGTGGTTCCTCTTCTCGACACGTGTACCGCATAACTGTGCCCTTTTTCCTTCTTATTTCCTCCTGGTCCCCACGTGACAAAACGAACACAGAAACGTGTGAAGACTTGGGACCACGTGTCCTTTTACATGCTCTTCTTTTCTTTTTTTTTAACTGTCGTCCCCCTTGGATGCTTGATGACAACAATGCCGTGCGTCCTCCTCCTCTTAGACGCGCTTCGATTTGTGTCGGAAGGCCCACTCGCCTCTGTTTTTTCGGGTCTCACAGCCGACCGTACGACGGTGGCGCTGCCGCTGTAACATTTTTATACTTAACACGCATGGCTTTCGACACGACACCCGATTCACATAAATCATTTTTTTTACCCCAAAATTTAAAATGACTTTCTTCTGATGGTTTTAAGGAGAAATGCTGACTTCTTTTGGTATGAACTTCAAGCTTTGACGCCTAACTCAAACCCTTTTGCTCCTTTTGAATAAAATATTTGTGGTAAAAAAATTGCAAGCCCGAAAATCATGGTAACCCAAATAAGAGATTGTTAATATAAAATATTAAGATGTTAGAAAGGGGAAATCAAGATGGAAAAAACCTTCTTAGATTTGGACTGATGTAGGTTGCTTAACAATGCCTAACAATGCCTCGAACTTTGTTGGTTCTAACAAATGTATGTTGCTTATGATTCCAACTATTGAAAATGAAAATGTCATGTGAAAATGAATCGCAGTGAATGTGATGTCAATGTCTCTTCACCATGACATCCTTTTCCAAATGGAGTCTTCTCTCCCCCTCTGATTTTAATGGCCACCTATCATTAGAAAAAGAAGAGAAATCATGTCCTCTTCTGGAGACAGTGACACCATTCACCGTGTTCTCCACGCGCCATTAATACCCAGACCAGCTCTCTCGCACGTAAACGGTTGGGCTGTCCAATCACCATGACATGTCATCTTTTTTTCTTTTTATTACATACTAAAAAACAAATAGTAGAAAATACGGGGTTAACGTCACAATTTCCCAACCCCGAACAAGTTACGAATCTACAGTGAGAACGAATCACAGCCGTTAAAATGGGATTGGATCGAAGATCGGGTGGCTGTGAAGTGGTGGCGATCAGAATTGGGAAAAGTAACAAAGTAAGCAAGAATGTGTGGTAGGCAGAAGGTTGCAGCCGCTGTTAATGGGACTGAAACAACCGTCAGATCAACCAAACAGTTTTTGACTTTATTTGACTTTTGGTACAACCTAGGAAATGTGGTTTGCACAAAATTAAATCATGTCCTTTCCCCCATACTGCCATGCATTATTCAATTTTTTCTTTAAAAAAAAACAAAAATTCTTTATAAGGATGCGGTCCATTTTTTTTTTAATTTAGCTGAGATATATCTATACAACCAAACCAATTATGGCTCATTGAAGGAAATATTTGTTCTTGTTGTGGCTGTGGTCAGAAGAAAAAACAATGGAAGATAAAATGGCAGCCTTGACTTGAATTTTGGAAGATTTCTCTAGTTTTTGACTTAGTCAATGTAATTAAGATAACATATATATACACAACCAAACCAATTAATCAATTATAGGAAAAAGAAAAAAAAAAAAAGATAGCCATCTTCTCCTAAGTAACTTAATTTAGGATCCATTATTCAATTTATTTTTTGAATAAATTTCAATTACATTTTCTTATAATTTCAACCTCTCACATATAACATCCTTGATTATTTTTTTCAATTAATATATTGTGAATATCTTTTTCTCATATTAATATTTTATAGATAATTTTTATTCCCGAAAAGAGATAATTTGTTAATTTTGTTTAATAAAATTAAAAATATATCTAAATATAAACAAATAAGCTAACAAATGTTATTCGCATAGTGCTTATTGAGGTGTAGGTAAAGTCTATCGTTTCCTTGTTATTTTAGTGTGGCTGTTAAATAAACAATTTCATTTGTTGTTACATAATTAATTAACGAGTCTGGCTAACTATCAACAATATATAGGATGCATTTTAAGGTTACTCAAAACATTATTTATAGAACAATTTTTTATATTAAATGTAGCAATTAAAAATTAATGTGACGATTTTCAATCTAATCATGACAAAACCATAGTGTCATGATTAGATTGAATTCGAGTTTGACTCAGAAATTTTGTAATTCATACTAAGTTGACATTTTTTGTTAGTTAGATAAGAATAAACCATAGTGTCATCTACACTATTGTATTACAGAGAAAAATAATAATACAGATTTTTTTTTCTTTTTTTCCCATGATGCTGTATGAGTGTAAAATATTGTATCCAGAACAGACTGCTTGGTTATCGAAGGAAAAACTATCTTGCAACAAAGACCGTTCAGAAGAAAGATGGCTACCGAATTGTAGAAAACGACGCCGCGTCCTTCCCCCCCTTTAGATGCTCGCAATCTAACATGCAAAAATTCCATGCCTAAATTTTTTTTTTTTCTTTTCTGAAATAGTCATGCTTAGAGTTTTTGTCTATCTATTTTTTTTCACTTTCAGTTTTCCTTTTTTGGAACGAAAATGGTATCTTACCATCTTTCGAGGTGAATCTTAATTCTAAGAGTATAATTAATAATAATTACATGTAATAAATCATATGTGATTATCAAAATTTATATTAATCACTATTATAAGGTATTTAGAAAACTTATTATTTCACGTAATAATTTTAATTTGTCTTACTATAGGATTCAAAATTTCGAATGAGTTGTAACAATAATTTTGGATTTTTAAAATCTCTTTTTATTTTTAGACATTTTAAATATGTCACGAAGGCAAGAAAACGAAGATAAAGATAGAAGAGAAACTTGTTTATCAACTTCCCTAATTTTCAACTACAATTTGAATAGCTTGAATGAATAGAAAAGCCCATGCTTGCGCATGGGGAGACTTGACATATTACCATCACAAAACAGCAAAAAACCAAATAAACTTTGCTTTTATTTAAAGTTGGAAGGAACTAATAGAATTTCCCATCGGCAAAGTTGTAACGTAATTTTCTCATGAATTATTTTCTGCACGTATACTGAAACAATTACGACAGATATCTATAAAAGAAAACAAAGTCTAGCAGCTCATCTCCATTTGTGGTCGTAGTACGTGAGCTTAAGCGCTGCTTTCCTTTTCTTCCCCTGCGTTTGATTATATCTCGTGACGTTAGTTTTGGGAAATACAAAAGAAAAAGGAATTGAGAAAATCCACCCCCTCCTCCCTCCACACGTCTAGTCGTAGTTACCCAAATTTACATACGGTTCTTTTGTTAACTCCATGACAGCCCAACTGGGACTCTTCTACTTTTGTCTAGTTCACCCTGCTGTCCACTTCGCTTCATCGACATCTCCCTTTGGCTTCATTTTCCATTTGTCTAATGACAATCAGACAATTACATAATCATAACTGAGCTTCGTATCCGAAGGATATTTTGGACATCTTGGCAGTCGAAGTAATCATTTTTCTTAAATTTTGTATCATAAATCAATAAATAAAAATATCGTTTGGTGTGTGAAAATATGATTAACAGAGTGCTAATTGTCAAAATTAGGGTGTTTTGTTTTCTCGGGGTCTAGATATTAGGCAAGTTCTATATCTCCAGACAATAATCATTCGCAGGCATGGGACAGAAGAATTTTGTAAGCTAGGCCAGATCAAAGACACCAACAACAAATTATGGTGTGAAGCAGAAAGATGAAGAGGAAGGAAAACGACGGGAGCGATGTGGCGGTGTATGGGAGAGCCGTGCAGCGTCAGAGCAGGGTAACAGACAGAGACTTAATTAAGCTTATGAGCTGTAGTGAGTAGTGACGGTGGTCCAAAAGTCGTAAACATACAGTCATACACTAAACACAACAAACGGAAACAGAACTTTCCAAATATCGCATACAGCTCAGCTGTTGCTTCTAGCACAAGTGTACGGGGACATGCTCGTTATTTTCTTACTTGTATAAGGGCAGTTTCGTCGAATTCGTCCTTCAAATTATCTAAATACCCATAATTTTAAAGCACGAAGAGAAAAAAAGAGAGAACCAAATATTCCCAATTTTTTTTAATTTTCTTATTTGTTCAGAAAAATATTAATAATTTAAAGGTGATTGGGTTTGGAACTTTTTGCGAACGTCTTGCCTTTTAAGTGACACCCAAGCCCAGAATATTTTCACCTTACCCAACTCCACCACCACTAGCTCCTCCTCCTCCTCCTTTTCCTCCACCGCTATTGCCGCCAGTTCTTTCTCTTTCTCAAGAGCTGAACATTACTCCAAAAAAACACTAACACCCAGAATAAGAGAAGAGGAGGAGGAGGAAAGGAAAAACAGCATAAGTTTGGATCTTTATCTTTAAATCTGAACCAACTTTTTGTTATTATTCTAACTCGCTGTAGAAGCTACATTTTTTGAAGGTAAGTTAAAGTTTATGCAATAATGTGACTTAAAAAATATTGGGTTTTTTTTTAAAATCTTGTTTTGCATTGATTTGTTTGGTTTTTAACGTTGAATGTTGGTGGTGAGAGTACAGTGGAAGTGACTGGAATGGAAAACAGATTCTGTTTTCTTTTCTTTGATTGGAAGACAGGTGTCTGGTTTTATGCAGAGTAAATGTTTCCTTTCTGTTTCAAAGCATCTTCTTTTTTTTTTTGTCGGTGAGGTTCCTGTTTCCTTATTTCTTCCACTGCAAGGCTTAAATGTTCTGTTTCTTTTCCAGTTTTGATTCGCTTCTCATCACTCTCTCTCTCTCTAAGCTTTGGTCTTTTACATCTCATTGCCGTGAGTAAATTCCTTTTTCCTTTTACTTTTTCTGTTTTCAATGAAGAAAAACGATTTCAATTCATCGAATTTTTTTATGAATGGAAAATGTATTCTGGTTTTTGTTTTCTTCCTCGTTTGATTGATATGTAATGAGCTTTTGGTTCTAAGATCTTTAGCTCTATGATTAGATCTTTTGCATTTTTGAACTGGAGCCATTGATGGAATGCAAGCTTATCTGATTCAATTGCAACACTTGCAACAGTGACGATCTTACTTTTTTTTTTTTTTCAATCTAGAGCATTGGATTCATATTTATATATAGGATAATGGATGTGACTTGGTTCTCAATTGACTGCTTGTCTTTATTCTATCACGTTTTTCTTTTTTTCAGTTCCGAATCACAGCGAATACCTAACTCCTGCTTGTTCTTCATTCTTAGTAGTACAATCTGCTTTGCATTTTTTTCAAGCTTGCCATTTTTTTTGTCTTTCTCATGATGGTCTGTTTGGTGGCTGAGAAAATGTAGGATGGAAGAAAAGAAGATTTCGATTTCTGACAGCTGTACTATTTTTTTACTTGGTCGAATTGAATTCTAGTTCACTGACGATCTTAACCCTGAGAAGAAAATCGAGGCCTAGTTCTTAGGATTCTTGGTGTCAATAAATTAGAGACACTTAATTGTCTGGTGTATGTGCACCGAAAAAATTATTCCACCATGCAATGTTAAAGAAACGCTACCTAATCCGAGGATTAGTTGTCAGTTTGCTGTTTCATATCTCAACAGCCTCCCAATTTTAATTAATGTTTTTATTTTAATTTTTTGTTGTTCCTCCATGAATTTATAAGACTGGGCTCTAGCTTTTTGGAGAGTTGCTTCAGAGTCCTTAAAGGAATGTGGTTATTTTTCCAGACTGAATAAGTGAGGCAAGTAGCTGTCACCAGAAATTGTTTCTCTTTATGGTCTTTGGGTGTGCCTTAAGGAAAATCGAATTTGGTTTGGAAATTGTTTTCATTTCAGTCAGAAATGGTATGTTGGGCACCTATGTGGAGAGTGAAATTCCTAATGTTCACCTCAATCAGGTGGTTGCGATGTGTAGCCTTAGTCATTGCTCTTTCCTTTTTGGGTTAAAGTGGCGGTGCAGTGATATTTCTACTTTTCTAGATATAACCACTTGAGATGTAGTTGTCTCAGTTTTGCTTCTTTTCTTTGTATATTTTTCTCAACAAATTATATGGTCTTTTTGCCGTAGGTAATAAAGAGGATTTAAGTGATGGACCGCCGTTGGCCTTGGAAGAAAAAATCATCTGATAAAGGTGATAAAGCTGCTGCTGCAGCGGCTGCTGCAGCAGATGCTGCTGCTGCTACTTTGGCTTCAGCTGCATCTCAAGGCGATCAGGTACACTCTTTTGACTAAATTTTACTTAGCTAAATCACGTCAAACATGCTTGCTTGGAGAAAACTCTATTTATTCATCGATGTTGTTTTCTTGTCATTCTGGATTTTGATTCATAGCACATTATCTCAGCTGGAAAGAGATCTTGATCTCCTATCATCTAAACTGTTGGCTGCTTTATCTGGTATCAATTTTTTTGGGGTTATATTTTGTTGAACAGGAGACCTACAAAAAACCAAAGTATGTTCAAATTTCAGTGGAATCATATTCACATCTCACTGGTTTGGAGAATCAAGTGAAAACATATGAGGAACAAGTTCAGACATTGGAGGATGAGATTAAGGACTTGAATGAAAAGCTGTCTGCAGCCAATTCAGAGATTGATACCAAGGAAGACCTGGTGAAACAGCACACTAAAGTTGCAGAAGAAGCAGTCTCGGGTGAGTCTATGCTCCAATGTTCACAGTCTAATGTAAGACTAAAGGTCCTGTAATTAATCTTGGCTTGAATATTTTTCAATCTGTGACATGGGTTTTGGTGCAGGTTGGGAAAAGGCTGAAGCAGAAGCCTTGGCATTGAAAAATCATCTGGAATCTGTTACGCTTTTGAAGCTCACAGCTGAAGATAGGGCATCCCATTTGGATGGTGCTCTTAAAGAGTGCATGAGGCAAATCCGAAATCTGAAGGAAGAACATGAACAAAAGTTGCAAGATGTGGTAATTAGCAAAAACAAGCAATGTGAAAAGATTAAGCTTGAGCTTGAAGCTAAGATTGCTAATTTAGACCAAGAACTCCTTAAGTCTGAAGCTGCAAATGCAGCAATTTCAAGGTCTTTGCAAGAACGTGCTAACATGCTGATCAAGATTAGTGAAGAAAAAACACAAGCTGAGGCTGAGATTGAGCATTTGAAGGGTAACATTGAATCATGTGAAAGGGAAATAAATTCGCTGAAGTATGAACTCCATGTAGTTTCCAAAGAGCTGGAAATTCGTAATGAAGAAAAGAATATGAGCATGAGGTCTGCAGAAGTAGCTAACAAGCAGCATATGGAGGGTGTCAAAAAAATAACAAAGCTAGAAGCAGAATGCCAAAGATTGCGTGGTCTTGTGCGGAAAAAGTTGCCTGGTCCTGCTGCACTTGCCCAAATGAAGCTAGAGGTTGAGAGTTTAGGACGGGATTATGGAGATACTCGACTAAAGAGGTCTCCTGTACGGCCTTCTACTCCACACCTGTCCACAGTGACTGACTTTTCCCTTGACAATGCACAGAAATTCCAGAAAGAGAATGAGTTTCTCACAGAACGTTTATTGGCAATGGAAGAAGAAACAAAGATGCTGAAGGAAGCTTTGGCAAAGCGTAACAGTGAGCTACTGGCTTCTAGGAATCTGTGTGCTAAGACATCTAGCAAGCTTCAAACTTTAGAAGCACAACTTGCCATCAGCAACCAACAGAGAAGTCCCTCGAAAGCTATTGTTCAGATTCCTGCAGAAGTTTACTCAAGTCAAAATGCTAGCAATCCACCAAGTGTGACTTCTGTGTCTGAAGACGGAAATGATGATGACAGGAGCTGTGCTGAGCCATGGGCAACAGCTTTGATGTCTGAGCTCTCTCAATTCAAGAAGGAAAAGAATGTTGAGAAGCGAAATAAAACTGAAAATGCGAAGCACTTGGACCTAATGGATGACTTTCTGGAGATGGAGAAGTTGGCTTGTTCTTCAAATGATTCAACTGCAAATGGTGCAATCACCATTTCAGATTCTACAAGCAATAAGATATCTGAATCTGTTAATGGTGATGCTTCAGGAGAGATTTCTTGCAAGGAACTCCAGTCTGAAAAGCGGCATGTTCTGTCTCCATCAGTAAATCAGGTATCTTCTAATATGGATTTATCAGTAGTGTATCCTGAATCTGATGCAGACCAATTGCCAGTTATGAAACTTCGAACAAGGCTCTCTATAGTGCTTCAGTCTATGTCTAAGGATGCTGATGTGCAGAAAATTCTGGAGGACATCAAATGTGCTGTGCAGGATGCACGTGACACCCTGAGCCAGCACTCTGTAAATGGTGTCTCTGAGGAAGTGCATGGTTCTGATGGCACTGGCAACGGGCAGGCTTATAATGGAGTTGGTAGTTTAACTGCAGAGAAGGAAATTGCTATATCTCCTGGTGATAAGGTGGCTTCAAAAATTGTGCAAACTCTAAGTCAAGAATTAGCTGCTGCGATTTCTCAGATTCATGACTTTGTACTGTCCCTGGGAAAAGAAGCAAGGGCAGTTGATGACATATGTTCTGATGGCAATCGATTAAGCCAAAAAATTGAGGAGTTCTCTGTCACCTACAATAAGGTCTTATGTAGCAATGTGAGTTTGAATGATTTCATATTCGATCTTTCTACTGTTTTAGCCAAAGCCAGTGATCTACGATTCAATGTGCTGGGCTATAAGGATAATGAAGAGGAAATCAACAGTCCTGATTGCATTGATAAGGTTGCTTTACCAGAGAATAAGGTGATTCAAAAGGATTCATCAGGAAGGAGATATCAAAATGGCTGTGCCCACATTTCAAATCCTACTTCCAATCCTGAGGTTCCTGATGACGGAAACCTGGTCTCTGACTATGAATCAAAACAATCGAGCAAATTCTCTTCAGAAGAGTTTGAAGAATTGAAGTTGGAGAAAGAAAACATGGCAATGGATCTTGCTCGCTGTACCGAAAATCTGGAGATGACTAAGTCCCAATTACATGAAACTGAACAGCTTCTAGCAGAAGCTAAATCTCAATTGGCTTCTGCTCAAAAGTCAAATAGCTTGGCTGAGACACAGCTCAAGTGCATGGCAGAGTCTTATAGATCACTTGAAACACGTGCTGATGAGTTAGAGACTGAGTTGAACCTTCTCCGTGTAAAAATAGACACTCTGGAAAATGAGCATCAAGATGAAAAGAGAAGTCATCATGATACTTTAGCCAGATGTAAGGAACTAGAAGAGCAATTGCAAAGGTAAGCATCAAGCTCTTTTCATACAATCTGAAGTTGCTATTAACTAATTGATGTGTCATCTTTTATTTGTACATGTTGTCTAACTTAATTGTTTTCCATCACTTTTAGGAATGAGAACTGTTCTGTTTGCGCTGCTGCAGCTGATAATGACCTCAAGAACAAGCAGGTGAGGGTATATTTCAACTTGTGTATCTTAAGATGGATCTTGCCAGACCCACTTAAATATCTAATATTACTATCAAGAAATATAATATATTCATGTGTCAACAAGCAGCAAAATGATTGACAGATAGTTAAAGTATTGCCTTAGAAAATTCCATACGCCCATTGCCTTTACCTGATATGAGATAGTCAGATCTTCAAGAAGAACTTTAAGTCAATACACATGAATGTAGAATATTAGACAAAACTGTTTATTACCATGAACCTGCTACTTTCACTTTTATGAAGTTGTGTAGTCTTGTGTACATATTTGTTACTGAAACCTTTTTTCTTATTTATACATTGTTTTTTCTACTTTCATCTGTTATGTGTAGCATAGCATGATTCCTTCTTAAGTGTAACATGGAAATAACATATAATTATAAAAGAAAAGCCAACAATAAAATATTTAAGTGCTTGTGGGGCACTACATCGTGAACTTATTATTGTTACGTTAGTGGCAGCCCAATCTCTCATCCCTTATCTAGTCTCTGGTTAAAGTCAACCATTGCACCTAATGTGTTGTTGTTAATAAATGTTTAACTTCTGCTCTTGTAATATTATATACTCACCTTAGCCATAAATTACTGGTGTTAAAGCGGATTCTTATTGTCTGAACT